GGCGACACTGATTGTGAGTCAGTGCGTCGCGCGACGTCACTCGTATATGCATCCTCGACCACGTGCTCCGATTTCGTTCTTATATCTTACTCTAAATGTTCGCGTCGCGCGTGTAATGTGCGTTGCTGAGGAATTTTGGAGCTTCTTTGCGTGAATGTTGACCACGACGTACAAACGCGCGGCCCAGAAGACGTAAATATATTAATTATTTATGATAATTATACACGATCTCGTTTTCCTTCTCTTCTATTATCGATATCTCTTTTTAGTCGTATTTTAAACAAAAATTCTTCCTAAGAATCAACTTGCTTGGTGATACGATCGTCCAATCAATCTGATTTTGTGTTGGCTTACTAGATGAATATATTAGTCTCCTTGTATCTCTTTTATTTATTTATATACGGATTTCGATAGCTTCCATTTCTACATTGCAAAAATCTTGCGGTTCTATTTTTTCTCCGTAACAATTTTACAACAATCAGATAATGACTGCAAACGTCTGATAATCAATGCTTGTAAATTTATTTTTACATCTTTTTCTTTATATAATATTATACAGATTTTTCATTCTCGTAACTAAAGATGATTTCATGTATATTGTGACAAATGTCTTATAATTATCGAAACATCGTTAACAGTTTTTGCATGTAATAGTAAATGCGATAAGTCATTGTTAGATATAGCAAAGATTTAGTATATCATGTCAGAAAACGATACTATTAACAATGCTTTTATTTTGATTATAGACAATCTTCATGTGATATATATTACAATTATTTGTATTATATTTCCTAAAAATGCGTTATTATTGTAGAAGAAAATACCATTTTTTATTAAATTTATTATGCGTAATTTATTATACATGCTAAATATAACCAAGATTCTTTGAATTTATGCCAAGCGAGGCAGCTTGACAACTTAATTTAATGAGATTACATGAAAAAAATAAGATTAAAATTTATATATTAACATATGTAATATGACAAGTTAAATATGTTATTTTCATATGCGAAAATAATCTAATTAATCTTTTATTTATCTAACAATGATAGGTTCAATTTAGAGTCATGAGACTTAATTTAGCGACGAATTTAACGTTTTATTCACTGAGATATGTGCGTCAAACTTAGAACTTATAGCGATGTGATATTAAATCAGTACGTTGAACCTCTCCTATGCTAGTGATAAGAGCGAGTTGTTTTCTGCTTTTTCACCAACCAGAAGCAATATTTCTAAGGAGGAATTTTCTTCGTGGTGCAAAGAAACCATTAACCATCCTGTAATGGAGGTATTCAGCGGGTCAGCTTTGACTCCGTAAGCCGAGACTGGTACCGGTATTCGACGCTTGAATTTACCCACAGAGATAGGTCACGCGACAATATTCTCCGTTTTTTTTTCCTGCAGGCAATGTAAATTTTCCAACATATTCGCACCCAACTTCTGTCAGATTGCGAATTTCGAGTTTTTTCAAAGATGCTGTTTGCATTACTACAATAATATAGGCCATATTTTTCATTCTATCTCTAGTTTTGAAAAGGAGTTCCTCGAAGTATTTAAAATATACGTCTAAATTTTTTAGTATTTTATTTAAAATATTTTATTCATCTAGGTTATTATTATTATAATCTAAGATTACATGCACAATTAATAATGTGTGAAAATTGATAAATAATAGATTAATTAAATTTTTTTCGCATATATGAAAATAACATATTTAACTAGATTGTCGTATTTATTACACATATTCATATGTAAATTTTAATCTTGTTTTTTTCATGGTTTATACTATCACCATGTAATACTGAAAAAATTATACTTAAAAATTTCTTTCTTTAGAAATCTTAAGAAGCAATCGTAAATGATAAATCATCAACTTTTCTTTCAATTCAAGCGTCAAGAATATTTAATATAGAAAATTTGACGCTTGTAATATAATACGATTATAGATATTATTAAATTTGTAGCAGTTATGTTAAATATTTTTGATGTTTCTAGACCAAATGATTGGTTTAACTGTTATTGAAGATAATATGCGGATATTCGCAAGTAGCCAGCTTGTACATATAATATATAAATACACAGAGTAATCTTGCGCTACAAGTATTCTTGGCATGAGACATTACTATGTCTCTTAATATTTCAGCAGTCTCTTAATATTTAATATAAAACATATGACAAAATTACTATAACAATTTAACGTTATTTATAAATATTAATTTATTAGAATGAGGAATTATAAACTTCCTATAATTGCGAAGGTTTCATTGTTCATTTAACCGGAAAAATCGATATGTGTGGAAAGCAAAGTGATCTGCGAAAGCGATATTCTCCTCTCGTTTGCATGCTTGATTAATTCTATCCTGCGGAAGGATGCGCCGTTATATTGGATTGCCTCAAAGGTCGTGGTATAAATTAACAAACGATCCTTGCCGCCTGCGTATATAACGTTGCGAAGAAAACAAAATATATGAATGTCGACAAGTTGAAACTTCCCAAACGCGGGAAATGCAGTGCAAGTCACGGCAAAGAGTCAAGGAGATGTCAAAGTTGAAGTTGGGGACTGGGAAGGGCGATAAAATGCACTTAGCAACAAGCTCGGACTTACGAGTTGTTTCCTTTGAAATTCACTCGTCTGCACTTTTTACGTTTCAAGTTTTTTTTTATTTTGCGAATTGCAATCCGAGATTATACATCTTTTATAATGAAATCCTCCCCGTCTGCCGACTAAGAAACTTCGACACGCTTCAATTATCGAACAGCGAAGAATGGATATATAAAAAGATCTAAGAATTTTCTGCAAAACACAAACAACTAATACATTGAAGTTTCTTTCCGTCTTGAAGATCTACCAAAAACTTCAACAAAGTCTTAAATGCTTGATAAAATGATAAATGTCTTACATATTTGAAAAATTGTACAGGGAAAAAATAGGACGAAATAGATTAATTTTAAATAGAATAATTTTAAGTACTTTTAGTCTATCAACGATTTCAGATATTTATATACTTATTTCGGGGATCTTCTATCTTATTCCTTATAATCCCCTGTTTTGTAGAATTATAGAACAATTGTGTGAAAAAATTTTTTAATTCCATATTATAGTTTATAATTCAAGAGTTTTTCAATCTTGAAAAATAATTTGCTGAATGTGTATCTATATTAATTGGCAGTATGCGATGTGATAATGTGCTACATATATATTTTTGACAGACAATTAGGATTCCTCGTTGACTTAATTAATGCTTAATTGTAACAAAGTTAACTCACCTGTTACCTGTTACGAGTGTAACGGCTGATTCTTCTGGTCGTTATTTTGCCAAACGTTGTGGAACATTTGACCAACAATTCATAACTTCCGTTTGACTTTTCTTTAAATTTCAAATAAATTAATTGTAACAGCAATATTTAATACCTATGTGTAAGATGATACAAATAAAGCTGTCACTATTATGTCCTAAATTTATCATTAAAATTTTTACAACGTTATTAACTTAAAATAACTTGAAAGAGGACGCAGCTAAAGGTTTTCTAAGAATCTGGACACGAGTCATAGTTTTGTATGATAATAGTTCTAAGATAGTAGTTCTAACAAAATCATGTAAGAGAGAAGGACATACATTTATTATTTCATTCTTTTTCTCATTCTGTTGTATCTGTTTTTATATTTCCTTTCTCTTTTTTCTTTCTCTCAGGAATTGTTAAAACATGATGGATCAATTAAAAGTGGCTTTCTCATGGCCAGACTCTCTTATCAGAAGGTCTTTAGACGAAGCTCAGTTTGGATTTAATGTACAAAAGACCGAATTTATTTTACGATAGTGTTCACGCAACAATACTGATAATTACATCGCTGTAAATACGATGCGTGCTTTTTATGTCTCGTTTCATAATTTTCAGCGCATTTTAAACGCCTCAGTGCTCCGTTACCTCAACACGTTATAAGATAAGTTTATGACCTGCTACAACCGGCAGCTGTTCGCCATGCATTATATATTCATTTGAAGAGATCAATGATGCATCTCGATCAATGTATCTTGCGATTCACCATCAATTAATTTAATAAAACGTTAATCGCGAGCTATTATTTAATATTTGTTCAATGTTACTTCTGAAGTTTGTTAGAACTTACTATTCAATTTTATTCGCGCAAATATAAAACAAATATAATTCTCCTATCAATTTTTATCGCGTTTCCAACTTTGTGATATTTGTTTTACTAACAAAAATAACGAAAGATAAACATTCGCATATCGAGAACAGCTTTCCACGGAATCGAAGAAATTGCTTTCCATCAGAGCGAGATGCATCTCGGTGCCGAGTCAGAAATTGCTCGATCAGTATTTGCCCTCCTTTTCCGGTAGGCATTCGCACATTTTACAGACGGCGCTACAATCCCCGTATTCGGCTCAATTAACTCTTAGTAAATTGACTGAAATTGAATTTTCGTTTCATCACTGTGTATGCTTATCGGCTACAATCAAAGTTAGGATTATTGGCGAAAGTGTTCCCAATTTATTCCATGATGAAACTTCATGATTTTGGATATGTAATCTGAATATCATCGGTCTTTATTTAATCGTGAAACTGTATCCTCGTTGATTAACTTATCTATCAAAAGGATTTTAGATTTACACTTACAGTTAGTATTATTAATTTTATATTGTGCTACTAAATCATTTATTTAGGTTAATAATTTTTTAAGCGCGTTAGAAACTTAGAAAAGATTATAACAAAATTATTATAATATTGTATAAATTTCTCGGATAACTTTAAATAGTAATTAGGAATTTTATGATAAGTATGATAAAATTTACAGTGCGTTAAAAAATATAACGAAGAGAATATATAATGTTCCCATAAAATACATTTATTTAAGATCTCAGTACATACACATAGATTTTTAACATTGAAGTAAAACATTTTATTCCTTATTTAGAAAATTGTATATAAAAAGTTCAACTACCGAATGGACGGAGAATGAAGGATGTGTGCTCATAAAAAATTATGCGTGCATGAGAGTAATTATAATAAATAGAACATGAAAATCATTATAGTCAATCGACTCGTTACTTCAAGGTAATGTGGCAGGAATCGATAACAGCGTCATATCTATAGAAGCGCCTTACTAATAATAAACTGATGACGAAAACGTGTCATAAAGTTGCGTATCACTTGGATAGTTGTTGTAGTATCTATAATCTAGTAGAATATCTTGTGTTTGCTTTCCCGATGAGTAATTATATGCATTTAAAGACTGCATTTGCGGTATCATCGGTGTCAAATTGCTCCGAGCACTAATCTTTGTGAATTTCATAATCAGAGACAGCAGAGATATCGACGTCAGAGGCATAGTTAGAATCATAGTTAGGGATATGGTTATAGTTAGGGATCGAAATTGAAGGCTCGATACTATAAGCTGAATTAGAGTTTTTCTGGAAATCTAAATTGTCCTTTAAGTCATCCGAAAAATAGTTTAGAGTATTCTCATAGCAATTCAAACAATGATAATTATCTTGATCGAAATCACTTACTGATGGAATATATGATTCAGGTAGGTCCTGTTTGAGATAACGTGTTATTTCAATAGTATTTGGTGTCCATAAAGTGTTCTCTTCATTGTTTGTTATCGGTGCATCAGTAGTACTCGAAAATTTTTGAGGATAAAAAAGAATAGGTTTTATATTGTTTTGTCTTGTCTGAACTGTGGTGATGCCATATCGTTTGACAATCTGTAACAGCTATATAATGCATTTTAATTTTAATATAATATTAAATATCATATTAATTATCTATAAAAATATTTTTTTCTCTCTT